TGGGTGGGAGGCTTTTTTGAGTTAGGCAAGTGGCCGAGAGCACGGAGAGTCAGAAGGGATAGGAGGTAGAATTTTCAGGGCAAGGGAGAGGAAGGGCTCATGATAACCCCCAAGTTTGAACCCGAGTGATTGGGAGGTTCAGGATATTATGAACACTGCAGAGAAAAGAGGAAACGGGTGGGCGAGGAATGCATTCAGGACACAATGGGCTGAAGAGATATCTGGCAAATCCAAGTGGAGACTCCCATTCCCCCTTGTCCAACCTCAGTGTTTTGGACTCCCCTGTCAGGTCACTCCTCTCAGCTACGACCAGCCTGGCTTTGGCACCTTATCTGACTTGAGGCACTAAATACTGACCCCCTGATGGGCTGACCTAGGGCTGATGATGAGAACCTTGTTGTTCATCTCCAAGCCCTCACAGGACCAGCCTTTGCTCATCCATCTCCTTTGCAAATTTGTGTTCTCTTTCTTATTTCTCACTCATCTAGGCCTTCCTGGGCCAGAAGCCCCGGTCTCCAGGCTGGTGCCAGGGCCCTGGAGGCTGCCTTCCCGGGTTTTTTTTTTTCCCACCAGCTTAGGGGACACCTTGTGGCTTCTGGCCGGTGCCTCTTTTTAAGGCCCACAGGACTGGCTCCACTTTGCTGTCTGCAAAGTCCAGTCCTCAGGGCACATATGGTCCTTAGGGATGGGTACGGGCCCTCTCTCAGCTCCCAAGTGCTACTTCAAGTGCAACACCATACCTCCCCAAGTGACTTCCAGGAAATGAGAGGTGTCCAGCAGGTGCACAGCAAGCACACTCTGCACCCTGCATCAACCTGGGACCTTTGATGAAAGCATCTTGCATCCTGCCTCCCTCTGTCCCGCCGTGGTTATCCTCCCACACCTGGACACCTGACCTTCATGCTACATGGAGGTCTCTGCGCTGCTGGTGCTGATGTTTCCTGTCTTGGCCATTTCTGCTGCTGGTTGCACCTGGGTGCTGGCAGTGCTGTAATCCTGTTCCATGGAAGCTTCCTTTGTGTTTGTGGTTTGGGGCCTGCAGAAATGAACCGAAACTGGGGAGGGTGCTGGGAGCATCCAGAGCCTCTGTGACTGATTTAGTCAAGCATCTTCAGTCACTTTCTTCTCATTCTGAAGACTTCACATAATTAAAACCATCCCTGGCCAACACTAAATAAATTTTGCACATGCTGCTTGAATTACTGTGCAGTCTTACCCCAGTGTGGCTTTCTACGAGATTAATATTTCACTGAAACTATTCCTCTGGGTAGGCAGAAGCCAGCAGCTGTGGAAATTCAACATTTGCTTTATACAATGAAACTCTAGGACAGGGCTGCTTTTCACATTTCTCAGATATGTAGCCCATTTGGGGAAAAAAAAAAAAAAAAGCACTCTTGGCAGAGTCCATGTGGCATGAGCCAGATATCCCAGCTTGTGTTACTATATATTTAGATATAAAGTGATGAGAAAATGTGCTTCTAAATGCTTATCATATAACACTGGCGTGTAAAAGTTGGAATTACTATTTATTGAGCACCTACTATGTGCCAGGCATTTACATACTCTGTATCCTCACAAACACCCAGAAGCGCACCAGACTGGGCCTGTTTGCCTTCTGATCCCTGTTCTATCTTGGACAGCAGGAGCCAACCTGCAGGCTGCCTTTCTCAGCCTCAAGGGTGCTCTGGCTTCCTGCTGGGTTTGGCCCATGGAGGCACCACTGGGACGTTAGAGGGTAGAGGAAAGGAGGAAGCCAGTGTTTTCTCCCTCTGTCTCTTCCTCAAGCATCTCCTCTAGTAGTGGCCACATCTCTGTGATTCCAGATTCTTCCTGGTGACCCGGCTCTTGGGCAACACTGCCTCCTCCCTTTGTCCCTTCAACTGTCTGCTGTCCAATTTTGCTGCTGTCTCGATTGCCTCATGGTCCCACCCCATACAACCTTACTCCAACTAATTTCATCTTTTAAAACTCATGTCAATTTGAGGGGTGCCTGGGTGGCTTAGTTGATTAAGTGTCCAACTCTTGATTTCAGCATAGGTCATGATCTCACAGTTCATGAGTTCAAGCCCCACATCGGGCTCCTTGCTGATAGTGAGGAGCCTGCTTAGGATTCTCTCTCTTCTTCTCTCTCTGCCCTTCCACTGCTCTCTGTCTCAAAATAAATAAGTTTTAAAAGTCATGTCAATTTCAGAAGTACTTTAACCCTCGAATTTGTCATTTCTTATGTGAGGCTTCACATTTCAGCCTCTCTCTCACCTTCCACCTGCATTTCTATCTTTATCACTGTAATCAGTTCCCTGCATTAAATTCTTTCTGTTGAAAATACTTGAAACAGTTTCTGTTTCTCTGCTTCCATGCTGACTGATGGGTTGAGATAGGAATCAGCCTCATTTTAATGATAAGGTCAACTAACTTGTCTCAGTCTTAAAGATAGGGGATGGTGGAGCCGAGGTTTAAATTCAGGCCTGATCCTGAAGCTTATGAGGTTTTCCCTACATTAGCCTGTGTTCTGTTCATTGGTGCTGCATGAACCAAGTCTAATTTCTTCTGCATAATCCCTTCATATTCTAGAAGAAGGAAACTCTCACCACCTCATTCTCCAAGATTTCCCCAGATGAAATTCTCTTCCCTTCAACTGTTGCTTATAAGAAAGAATTTTGAATTTCCCCTGATATCTTGGTTGAGTCTTTTGGATTCATGCTTTTTAAACTTTAATGTGAAAATTATGATTCAGGATGACTCTGGGGACGGTTTCAGATTTACATGCAATTGTAAGAAATAATACAGGGAGCCTATGTTCCATTGAACCAGTTTCCCTAATGATAAAAATTTGCAAGACTGTAGTACAATGACCACAGCCAGGATGTTGTCACTGATACAGTCAAGATGCAGAACATTCCCGTCATCACAAGCCTCCCCCTGTTTCTCTCTTATAGCTGTGCTCACCACCCTTCTGACCCCACCCCCTCCTTAGCCCCTGAAACCACTAATTCGTTCCCCATTTCTATAATCTGACACTACAAGAATCTTATATAAGTGAAACCATACAATATGCAACCTTCTGAAATTGAATTTTTTCACTCAGCATAATTTTTTGAAGATTCATCCAGGTTGTTGCATGAGTTAAGATTTTGTTTCATTTTGTTTTGTTTTTCTGAGTAGTATCCTATGTCATGGATGTACCACATTTTGTTTAAATATTCACTCATTGTAGGAAATTTGGGTTGTTTCCAGTTTGGAGCTATTACAAATACAGCTACTATAAATACCTATGTGGATTTTGTGTGAACTTAAGTCTTCATGTCTCTGAGATAAATGCCAAGGAGCAATGCAGTTGCTGGTTGTATGTTTGTATGTTTTTTTTTTAAGAAACTGCCAAATTGTTTTCCATAGTGGCTGTTTCATTTTACATTTCCATGAACAATGTATGAGTGATCCATTTTTCTACATCCTTATCAACATTTGATGTTGTCACTATTTTTGAAGATTCTTTATATATTCTACATACTATTCCTTTTGGCAGATAAATAATTTGCAAATCCCCCCCCCCACCCCCAACCCTATAGTTTGTCTTTTCATCCTCTTAACACAGAGGAAATGTGTTTAATTTTGATGGTGTCCAAGTTATCAATTTTCCCTGTTTTGGAATGTAATTTTGGTGTCGAGCCTAAGAATTCTCTGCCTCATCCTTGATTCCAGTGGTGAAAGAAGTAGGAAGATATAAGGTTCTGGTTCTGGTTGGAGAGTGGGATTTCTGAGTGTGAGTCAGTCACCCATAGTCACTATGGGAGGGCCTAGGAACAAAGAGCAGAATGAAGACATGGTCCCTGCTCTTAAGGAGCTCGCAGCCCAGATTTCAGAGGTGGCGCCTTTCCAGATGTGTCCCTGGAAATGGTTTGCTGCAGTGGGTTGGAGGGGAAGTTTGATGGAGCAAAGGAAGCCAAGTGGCTGGTAGGCTAGCATGTTGGATGTGTCACGGTGTTTATCAGTCCTGCAGAGAAAAGCAGGTTTCTCTCTGTGCAATAATTTCTCCGGGACCATGTGTATCCTCTTCCCATCCTGTGGTGTAGGAGCTCTTTTTCCATTCAAGCCTTTGCATCTCAGACTCCATGTGGCCAAGTTGGCGTCAGCTCTTGCGTGGTTTTCACTAGTGTAGAGGGGAGGGTGAGTGGGCATCAAAGACCTGCTTCCACCCTTTGGTGCCTGAGTCTCTAAAGAGCTATCAGTTCTGTGCTTCAAGTTTCCTTTTTGTTCTTGCCCTTAATTTCTTCACGAGGCAAATGGAGATAGGAAGGTGCCACAAATTCTCTGTGAGGCTGAGGCAGCTGGGATAAGTATCTATGAGACATAAATAAACCAGCAGAAGTCACATGCGGCAGGAGTCGGCAGGAAGTGGTGCGGACAACCGAATGCGTGGGTACGGTATGTAGGCGTGGAGCAGAGGGACTCCGGGATGGACTCCAGTCCTTCTGCACACTTTTCAGTGAAGCTGGCAACATAAAGAAGCTGTGTGGGATTCAGTTGTTTCAGGGACTCCCGCTGGCCTCCCTAGCTGGGCTGAACATAGCTTGAGGCCTTGAGACTTCTGGCTGTGCGAAGTCACACATCACCATTTCCAGGTTTTTTGTGCCTACATAGAGCTGCATGAGGCTTCATTTCATGGCCCATCTGGGCACTGCTATCTGGGAACCGAATTTCCTCCCTTCCTGTTCCAGGGAGATGCTGGCCTGAAAATTTCAGTGGTGAGGGGCCACGTGGACACATCCCATTCTGGCTGTTTTGTGGGCTTTGGCTGACTGGAGGAAAGAGGAAGCAAGCATCTCTGATCTTTTACCCCTTGCTTCCCTTTCTATGAACTTGGGAGTTTAGTTTCTTTGGCTGTCTGGTTCAAATTCCACATTAAAGTCTGGCAGTGGGCTTTATCCTCTCCAGAGATGCTATTCCATCTTTTCAGAGGTCCAGGTAAACATCCTCTGGGCTTCTCTGTGAGGTGCGTGACGACACTAGGTCCAAGGCATGATGTGGTCTCCTGAGCATGTGATGGCTTTCTGATGTTTTCTGTGCCATTTCTCTTTTCTTTCAGAACTTGAGAAGCTACCTGAGGCCAAGCAAGTTTCAGAACCTTTACTGCCTCACACCAGCGTCAGCAGGGATGAACTGTTTTTGCCAGATAATCCTCTGTTCCTGACAGCACATCTCTCCCCAGGTAGCTAAGGGGATAACGAGTTTTTACTACCCTCTGCACACTATGTAATGAGATAGTAGCCTGCATGGGGGCTAACACACCAGAGCCTACTCATTGCTGCTACTAAAGTATAAGATTAAACGTATCATCACCTGGCACATTGCATTTTATACATTCAGTGATTACACTCAATATACATGAGTGGACTCAAGGTTCCAGAGAATATGATTTTGTACCACTGGAAATGAGGTTGCCTCTAGAATAGAAGCCAGTGAAAATAGCATATGATACATATAATTAGCCATTCAGTCTACGAGATGGTGCTCGTAGACAGGCTGTCGTCTTCATCAAGAGATTAGCATGTGTTTAGGGAGACACAATTATGAGATGTAAGTGATGGACAGAAGCTGTGGTTGTTCAATTGTGTTGCAGTTAGTCAGTAATCAGGAGAAGGAGCTTTGGGTCAGGGATGAAAGAAAGCTGTCAGAGAGTAAGAAGTGTAAGAACTGGTGGGTTCTGCCCAAAGAGAATGTGCTGTGATTCTGGTTGACTGGTCCTGGAGTGTCCTCTCTACACATGATTTTCCCCAGAATAGTGTGGGATTAATCTGATGGGTTATCACCAGGAGAAAGCCTTGTCTTTGAAAATATGCAGCTCCTTGGTTGCAGTTTTGCCCTTGCCATGATAATCACCAGGATCCACGTCTAGAAGAGGATCTGATTTAGCTCTTGTGCCAGTTGACTCTCCAGTAATGAATTGATAAGCTGCTATTGGTTGATGTGTTCCCTTGAGGGCTTGGTTAATGTGAGCTATTCTCCAAGAACCCATTCACTTCTGGTCACTATGAATATTGAGTTGTTGGCCCAGACCTTGCACTCATGTCCTGATCAAGGCCTGCCAAGCAACCCCTCTCTCTGACACCTTCCTGACGGTACTGGTGATGAGCACGAGGTTCACAAACACTGAGAGTCACTTAGACTGGTCAATGAAGGAATGATGTTTATTTCAGAACAGGGTTTCTCAAACTTGATACATTCCCATTTTGAGCCATTTAGTTCTTTGTTGTGGGGAACTATCCTGTGCATTGTAGGATGTTTAGCATATCCTTCCCTCCTACCTACCAGATGCCAATATCAACCTCCCACTGCAGTTGTGACAACCAAAAATGTTTCCACATATTGCCAAATTTCCACATATTGCATTTGCCCTGGGGGGCAAGCTACAGCCCAAAGTTGAGAATCATTGATTCTAGGAGCTAACCAGTGGTAAGGGACTTCTTTGAGGAACAGACCACAAATTGTACTTGGGGGTGGATGAATGCTTCATGCCCCTTACCTTCATATTGGTAGGTGTATCGATCAGGGTTCCCCAGAGAAACAGAACCAGTAGGGTATATATATCCTATTCATAGGATATATATATGTGATTATGGAGACTGAGAAGTCCCAGGATCTGCCATCTGCTAGCTGGAGACCCAAGAGAACCTGTGGTATCGTTCAGTTAAAGTATGGAGGCCTGAGGACCAATGGTGAAAATCCAATCTGAAGCTGGAGAAGATGAAATGAGATGTCTCCACCCAAACAGTAAGACAGGAAAAAAGGGTCAGATTTGTCCTCCTTCCGCCTTTCATTCCATTAGGTCCTAAACAGACTGAATAATGCCTACCCACGTTAGGGACAGAGGTCTACTTTTGTGAGTCCACAGGTTCAAATGTTAACCTCATCTGGAAAAACCCTCACACACACCCAGAAATAATGATTAATCTGGGCACTCCATAGCCAGTCAGGTTGACTCATAAAATTAACCATCACAGTAGGAGATACAGAAGAATTTTAGTGATAAGTCAGCCCACTCAGGGCCAGTCACAGCCCTGGTATCATTTGGTGTTCTAGGTGGCTTAGAAACACCCTCAGAGACTTATGCATACAAAACTCATGCCTAAATGCTCTTTTTGGTTTTCGGCTAGCCAGCATTTACTGTGAGTCTCCTTTCGTCAGGCACCGTGTTAGATGCTTAGGTAACGAGGATACATCAGATGCCTTTTCATTCTAGAAGAAAACCTGTAAACTGATCACTCCAATTACACTATCATAGATGCAATATTAGAAGAATACTTGGAGACTTCGATAGCCAAAAAAAAGGGTTTGAGTGATTTGGAGCTTTACTGCAGTGGACCTTGCTTTTTTGCCCCCTCAATCATGAATATTTATTGAATTTTACACAAACATATTTTTGCCTGTAATGATGTGATATATTTTTCCTCTGAATCTCTAAATGTGATAGATTATTTACTATCCAATTTTTTAATAAGTGAAATTACATCTTTTACTTGTAATTAAACTATATTCATAATGTGGTATAAATTAGAATTTAATTGACTTCAATTTTAATATCAGCATAAAATAATTCTGCTACCATTCCTGTTAACTTGAAACCAAAATTTGATTGCAGGATTTTTTAAATGGATTAACCTTCAAAATTCACCGTTGTACCTCATTAACACCTTATTACTATTATTTTGAAATTGTGATAAAATATATATAAAACAAAACTTACCATCTTAACCATTTTAAACTTACAGTTCAATGGCATTAAGTGCATTTACACTGTTGTGCAAGCATCCATTTCCAGGATACTTTTCATCTTGCAAAACTGAAACTTTGTACCTTGTACCCACTAAACAGTAACTTCCAATTCTTCCCTTACCCTAACCACTGGCAGCCACCATTCTACTTTCTGTCTCTGTGAATATGACTACTCTAGTTACTTCATAAATGTTGAATCCTATAGTATTTTGGTTCATTACAGTTCTTTTGTGACTGATTTATTTCACTTATCAGAATGTCCTCGGGGTTCATCCATGTTGTAGTACGTGTCAGAATAAGGGGGAAAAAGTTACAGAGAGGAAAGGAGGCAAACCATAAGAGACTCTTAAAAACTGAGAATAAACTGAGGGTTGATGGTGGGTGGGAGGGAGGGGAAAGTGGGTGATGGGCATTGAGCAGGGCACCTGTTGGAATGAGCACTGGGTGTTGTATGGAAGCCATTTGACAATAAATTTCATATTAAATAAATAAATAAGACCTTAAAAAAAAGAATTTTCTTCCTTTTAAGTCTGTAATATTCCATTGTATGTATATACCATATTTTGTTTATCCATTCATCTTCCTTCCTCCCTCCCTCCCTTCCTTCCTTCCTTCCTTCCTTCCTTCCTTCCTTCCTTCTATACTAGCCATCCTAATGGGTGTGAGGTGGTATCTCATTGTAGTTTTGATTTGCATTTCCCTAGTGATTAGTGATGTTGGGGATCTTTTCATTAGTTTATTGATCACTTGTGTATCTTCTTTGGGGAAATATCTATTCAGGTCATTTGCCTATTTTCTAATTAGGTTGTTTGATTTTTTGTTGTTGATTTTCTAGGAGTTCTTTACATTATCTGCATATTATCCCCCAATCAGATATATTACTTGCAAATATTTTCTTCCATTTTGTGGGTTGCCTTTGCACTTTGCTGATTGTGCCCTTTGATGCACAGAAGTTTTAAGTTTTGATGTAGCCCAGTTTATCTATTTTAACTTTTGTTTCCTGTGCTTTCAGCATTTATCTAAGAAATTGTTGTCAAATCCAGTGTCATAAAACTTTTCTCATATCCATTCTCTTAAAAATTGTATAATTTTAGTTCTTCCATTTAAGTCTTTGACCCATTTCTAGTTAAATTTTTAATATGGTATAAGGTAAGGGTTGAACCTCATTCTTCTGCAGGTGGATACTCAGTTTTCTCAACACCATTTGTTGAAAGGACTGTTTTTCCTCATTGAATGGTCTTGGCATTGCTGTTGAAAATCATCTGACCATATATGTAAAGGTTTATTTCTGAGCTCTCTGTTCTATTCCAATTGGTCCATATGTCTGTCTTTATTTCAGTACTACATTGTTTTGATTATTGTAGCTTTGTAATAAATTTTGAAATCAGAAAGTATGAGACTTCCAACGCAGTTCTTTTTCCAGATTCTTTTGGCTACTTGAGATTCCTTGAGATTCCATATGAACTTTAGTATGGATTTTTCTATTTCTGGAAAAGAAAGTCATTGGGATTCTGAGACTGCCATAGGACTTTTGAATTCTCTTTTAAAGGAAACACTTGCCAGACAGATAAGGGGAGCAGGGGGCATTTTAGACAGAAGGAAAAGCATGTTCAAATGCATGAAAAGATAAAAGAGCTTGATATGTTTGGGGAACTAAAAGTAAGCTGGTAATGTTGGAGCATTAGGCATGTTGACATTTCTGTGTATATGCGTGTGGCTGTAGACTCGAGGAGATGAATTAGGAGCTAAGGTAGGAGTCAGATATTGTGGAAGTGTCTGTGTATTGTGCGAAGAAGTTTAATGGGGATTAGTTGAAGGGCTGGGCTGTGGAGTGAAGTGATTATGTTTGTACTTTATCAAGATGGCCCAGTTGGTGAGAGTGTGCACTAGATTGGGCAGGAAGAATTTGTTAGCAGAAGGATTAGGTGAAGCAAAACTCCCAGAAACGAACTGGCGAGACTTGTGCTATGGTAGAATTAGTGGGGAAAGATAGGAGGGAATGGATCTGAAATAGTTTTGCACTACTACATGTTCAGACATTTCCCAGTGACTTCACTCTCTTCCTGGGTCCTGAAGTCCTCAGGTCTGCAGAACAGTCTCTGAACTCAGAGCGGTGGTGCCAACTATTCACTTGTATCATATAGTTGTGACCTTTTAAGAACTCCAGTGGCTGTTGACTACGGCCCAGGGCTCTGGCTCAGAGGTGCAGGGTCCCTCAGCAGTAGTCGGCCCCTCTCACAGCCCCTGAAGCTCCAACTCCTCATCCTGCCACTCCTGGGCCTCTGGCTGCTCCAATGACCTTGTGGTTATTTCTGTCTTACCTGTGCACTGGTCTTTCTTTCCTTGCTTTGGTTTTCCCTGAGCCCACTGGAATCCACCAGAACGTGAGTTGTCTTCTCTGTTGTGACCCATTCCATCCGCCTGTGGAACTGCAGCTCCCCAGGCCCCCTTGTGTGGTCCGTGTTACTGAGGCCATGACCCACCTAAGAACCTGCTTCTTCTCCAAGGGCTGGAGTCCTCTGCTTCTTTAGCTTTCCCCAACCTGACATCCCTCCACGCACTGTGACTCAGTTCCCCACCCTCAGCCTAGAGCAGCATTGAATAGGAGTTGTCAGGGTCTTTGCTATTTCTTTCTCCCTTTATCTCAGCGAGGGTTTTGCTGAGTGAACTGGGTGATAAGAGTGCCAGGTCTGAGCTGCAGCAGCAGCAGCTGCAGAGACGATGTGCTCCAGCAGCCAGAGGCTGAGCCACTTAACACGGAGATCCCAAGTCCTTGTTCTGAACCCTGGTGGGACCATTCTGCTGGTTGGCAGCATGTGTGTTTGGTTGGCCCATTCCTGGTCACAGGTGGAGTCATGGAACTGCGGGCAGGGAGTGGGCTCAAGCTCCCAAGTTCTTGTGGGCAGTTTAGAACGGGAACCACTCTGGCAGTTCTGGGATAGTCAGCTCTGACCCATTGCCAAAGACACACATTTGGTGACCTGTAGGATGAGGCAAACGGCTCAAAGTACACAAGGACTGTCAGTGCAGGAGAAAGCAGAGCCAGGCAAGGAGTGGGCTGCTGCTTGGGGTTACAATGAGCGATTGAAGTAATGATGGGCTGTGCTTCCAAGGCGAGCCAGACAGAATGCAATAGAAAGTTGCAGGGAAGGTGAGGGAGAAGTGTTAAAAAGGGAACTGGGGAGGAGATGGGGAAGAGAGAGGGGAAAGTCCAGGAAAAACAGAAATGTACAGAGCTGCTGCTTCCTTGAAAGCCATGAAGCTTGCAGAGCAAAGGAGGACAAGACCCCAGATCCCTGGCTGGGAAGGCTGGTTGGCATTTAGGGGACTGGGTCTTTGTTGTTGAGCCCAGGCTACCTGGAACATGGCCTCAGAAGAGCAGAATGTGTTCTCATCACTTACTCTGTGTTTCCAAACAGAAGAGAAGCGAGGGAGGTGCCACCTTGATCCAGCTGAAGCATTTCCAGGAAGCTTCTCTCTGGATGCCACGTCGAGGCTGCCCTGCTGTAGCACAGAGCTGGTGATTGCCGAGTGTGTGGACATGGCTTTGCTCAGCAACATCCTGGCGGCCTATTCCTTCGTCTCAGGTAGTTGTCCAGTCTCGGCTGGGCCAGGGTTGAGGGCTGAGGGTATCTTCTGAGTGGCTATCAATGGCCTTATACTCCGAAGAGAAATGTTACACAAAGTGGAGGGATCCTGCTGTGAATTTTGAGATGAAAGATCTTCTGGTTTGACAGTTAAGCTTGGTATTCTCTAATTCAGCAGATGATTTCAGGGGGGTGGGCTCTCAAAGTTTTATCTTGCTAAAAATATTTGGTTTCCCTGAGGCTCAAGTGAGTGAATAAAGTAGCCTGAGGCTATTATTACTTGTCATTGTGCACTTGACTCCAGGTGAGAGAGGCTCATGGAGTATCCTCAGCCTGCTTATTTCTGTGCCGTGGTTCTCAGCCCCACCCAGGCGTGTGTGTGTGAGTGTGTTTGTGTGGGGGGCATGTGTTTGTGGGGCTGTATGAGGTATCTGATAATCTCCTGGGAGACGTGAAGACATGAAGCATGTAAGTCTGAGAGAGTCTGTTACTTGCCCCTTCCTTGATTCAGAGTTGTACTCTTAAGAATATAGCTCACTGCCTCCTCAAGATGCTGGAGAATAGAGAATATGCTGTTCATATAAGAGAAGCCATTTAAAAATACATGAAAATAGGGGCGCCTGGGTGGGCATGATGGTTGTGCTTATCCACACGACTTCAGCCAGAGTCCGCGATCTGGCAGGAGGTCGGGAGTTCAGGCCCCAGCGTCCCGGGCTCTGGGCTGATGGCTCAGAGCCCCTGGAGCCTATTCCGATTCTGTCACCCTCTCTCTCACCGCCCCCGTTCATCTGTCTCTTTCTCTGTCCCAAAATAGAAGCGTTGAAAATAAATAAATAAATAAATAAAAATACATGAAAATAGACCTCAATCAAGCTGAAATTTAAAAAAAAATACATGAAAATGCTCAATGGTTTGAGCGACCAGATGAATTTTCTGCTGCTTGAGTGAATTTTATTTTTTGATAGTTTGCTTTGGCTTTGTTTTGTTTTGCCTCTTGTCTCAGGATGTTGGCAAGGAAGGAGAAGCTTCGATTCTGTCTCCCTCTCTCCTGCCTCTCATGCTCTGTCTCTCTCTGTCCCAAAAATAAATAAAAACGTTGAAAAAAAATTTTTTTAAAAAAAACAAAAAGGAAGGGGCTGAGGCCCTGATTCGAATTCCTCTAATCAGAGGGCCAATTTTGCTTTCTGCTTCTCTAGCCAGGGTTGATGTGTGGTGACCTCAGAGTTCAGAGGTAAAACCTGACATTTCTATTTACAGTGGCAAATCTGAGCCAGGGTTGAGGATAGAGGAAGCTCATGTCTTCTCTTTGAGAGAGGATCTTGGATGATATGCAACCTAATTTTAGAAAGGAAGACTTCTCAGGGTGGCAAGATGCAGCCCATGGCCTGCATATGCCTCAAAGCCAGGGTTCTCCCATTCTGGGTCAGTAAAGGCCTGGGTCATCAGTCAGCCCCTCACCTCCCTAAGGAAGTCTGGTGCCTGCGGCCTCCTTCCCCAGGCACCAAACCCCAGAGGAATCTCAGCTTTGCTCTTTCTTCAAGGCTGTACTGGGGAGCAAGGGCACTGGAGTTGGAAAAGAGATATTTGAAACTCTGGTATCATGTTTCATAAGCAATTGAATGATGATCCTCTCAACTCTGTAGTGAAGACAAACCCAAAATGAAGTGGGTGGTGGCAGGGAGGGCCTGGAGGTTCCAAGGGCTCAAAGGCACTTGCACATCAGCTGTTGCAAGAAAGTATCTCGGGTGAGAACATACAGGCTACTGGACTTCGGAGTTGGCACAGGAGGTTCCTGGCAGTTTTCCATTTCAGCCAGCATGACCCTGAGTTGTGACCATTGAATGTGGTAACTCATTGAATGGTCTGGTGTTTACTGTGGGTCTTGTGATATTGCTAGAGCCGAAGGAGTACATGGCCCTGTTTTTCTCTCCCCTCCAACCTTCCTCCTTCCAACCGCATATTCTGGAATTAAATATTGATTGAGAGACAGGAAGATAATGCTTCTTTTAAGTAAATATGGGCTGAAATAAAAAGAGAATGCAAGGAAATGGAAAGTAAAGTGGCCAAAATAAAATGTGTTCGATCTAGTAAATAGACTTGATGGCTGAAAATTAATTCTGAGTGTGATGGGGGAACAATCCTTGTAAAGAAAATGAATTAAGAAAATTTAAAATATGAAGGTGAATATAACAGATACAAAAATAATTGTTTTAAAAGAAGAAAACAGAACAAATGGATAGGAGGCAATAATGAAAAGTATGTTAGAAGAAAATTGTAAAACACGTCCTAATCTTGTAGCTGTCTCATGTTCTCATTCAGCTGAATCTGGTCTTCAACTACACAGGGGCCCCTGATCCCTTCTAATTTCTTCCAGAGCATCACTTGACTCTTATTTTGTCCATGTGGTCCATCATTTCAGCAACATATTTGCCGATGCACACAACTCCCTTATTCTTTGTCCAGCTTCTGATTAAAACAACAGGGAAAACACTAACTCTAAGCAAACCCTACTTTCTCCCCTTTCTCCCTCTGCTCTGAAGTAACCAAATCTGCTACAACTTTGCAGATGGAAGCCATTGGAAATCCATGGTATCAAACCTCAGCTGGGACTGAAGCACTATCTTGTTCCCATGCATCACAAAGCCATTTCAAACCCTGGAAGTTCTAGTAATTTAAATACCTATTTATCAAAATGTAACCTACGATTAAATGGCAAATGCAAACAAAGAGGAAAAAATGCAGCATTAATGAAGAAGGGCTCAAGTTTATAATATATAAAGAGTTTTTACAAATCCATAAAAGATCGGTGTCTCAAAGAATAGTAGCAAAGAACAAGCATCAGCAGTTTGCCAAAGAAACAATGCAAATTGCTGATAAAACACACACAGCTTGAGTTCTAGCAATTGAACAAATGCAAAATAAAAGCAATGAGTTCATATTTTTATTTTATAAAATTCTCAAAGATTTGAGTGATTATGTATATAATTTCAATTTTGGAGACAGTGTGGGGAAGTGAGTACTCACAGTGTTATGGAATTGTAAATTGCTACAACCTCTCTAGAGAATGATTTGGGAACATGTGTCAAAAGCCTTAGAAACTTGGGTGTCATTTAGCCAGCAGTTCCACATCTAGGAATTTATCCTAAGGACCTAACTAGGGACATGGGCAAACATTTTACTATGAGAACAATTGATCTCAGAACTGTTTATAATAGTAAAAAATCAGAAAAATGGGTGAATATTAATTGAAGCAGAAAGATGTGCTGTTGCGTGAATAAAGCCTGTTACTATATAGTATACACAATATAATCCCATTTATATTTGTATATTCACATGTATATGTAACCACATTTTACTGCAAATTATATCTGGATGTTGGGATTTTATGAGTGCATTTGTGCATTTTTAATTTTCTTTTGCTTAGCTGTATGCCTAAGTATTCTATACTTCATTGATATCACTTTTGTAATAAATAATGTTATTTTATTGGAATTTAAGATTTAGAATTATATCATATATATATTTTAAAAATTACTACTCCCTTATTCTTTTCTGACTTCTAGACCTAAGTATCTAAATGCCCTGAACATTACCACTTGGGTGTGCCATAAGCATTTCAAATTCAACCTGGCCTGCAATGGAATATTGTCCTTCTTTTTAAATTGTTCTTTCTTTGGTGTACCATCTAGGGCATCAGTTTTACCAGAAATATGATTTCTAGTCTTTGGTATACCTTATTCACTGCCCATATACAATTGGTTAGGGTTGATCTATTTTGCCTCTCAATGTTTCTCATATGGTCCCCTCCATTTTATTCCCACCATCATTGAATTGATCCAAGCCCCACTGAGTTTTTGCTTATCTTATCATAATGATATTTTCCATGGTCTGCCTGCCTTCAGTCTTGCTTCATAGACTGTGTTTTATAGCAAAATGATCTTTCTGAACTGTAGTTGTGATGATGATGTAATTCTTTTTATTTTTTAGAATACTTTAGAATACTTATTATCTCTGGGATGAAGTTCAAGCACTTTTGTATGTTTTAATAATTAGGATTGTTTTAAGCTGCAGATAATAGAAAATCTCAACTTGGTGGCCTAAACATATAAGAGTTATCTTACCTTCATAAGAAGTTTGGAGGTAGGTGGTCCATTGGCTCAAAGATGTAGGGACCAGCATCTCTGTGATTTTCATGTTCTTTCTATTATGGCTGCACAGTGGCTGCTGTCACTCTTGCCCTCATTCAAGATGGTTAAGAAAAGGAAGGATGTTCCAGTAGATCTCTTCTCATATTTCATTGGCCAAAACTTTGTTACATGACCATTTAGCTGAAAAAAAATGACAAAGCTTTTTCAGCTTTTAGACCAGTGACTCATAACCAGGTGTGATTTTGCCCTACAGGGGATTTCAGGAAATGTCTGGAAACACTTTTGGTTGTCACAAACGGGGTGGGGTGGGGCTACTATTAGCATCTATCAGTGGAGAAACGTCCTATGATGCACAAGACAACCCCCACAGCAAAGAATTAACTGGTCCAAGAGGTCAATAGTGCTGAGGTTGAGAAGACATGCTCCAGAGGCAAGTAAGGGAGAAGGGATTTGGGGATAGTGTAAGTTCTCCAACCTGCAGTTTCTTATGTGGCTTACCAGGGCTTTTAGTGCCTGAACTTGACTTCTCTGTACTGTCATTTAGTTGTAGACCTCCCTGACCAACACCTCACTCCAATTATTCTAAACCACTTGCTAGGCCTTTTCTGACCTCTTTGCCTTTGGCAGTCATCTCCTTTCCCAAGAATTCTTCCCTTCAGTCCTCGACTGGCTAGCTCCCTCGCAGTCTTCAGGGTCTGCTATTTACTCTCTTTGCTCCCCCACCCTGGCTTAGGTGCTCATCCGTGTGCTCCTCACACATGTTTTGCTTCCCTTGATCTCAGCACTTGGATTGGAGGAGTTAACATTTCTTGTTTCAACTCTGTGCAGCCAACCCCTTGGGATCATAATATA